GTCTCCAAGGGTTTCTGACAATTCAAATAACGAACCTAAACCACTGCGCAAACCAAACTAAATGTGTGCATAACAATCACATTTTGTGCGGGAAGTCCCCTTTTTCCATTTAGTAGTCCGTCTATGAGGAGTTCGCGTCCGCTCAACGGAGGTTTTTGTTTGATTTGTTATGAAAAGAAATCTTAATGTCCGTTGATAAGAGATTCGCGTCCGCCCAATAGAGTTTTTGTGTCAATTTTATGCAAAATAACTGTCCGCGTCTGGCCAAGAGAGTGTCCGCTTAAGGGAGAGTAATTTGTTCCGAAATTTATACTTAAAACTTGGTATAGGAAAAAATGTCCGCCCAAAGGAGGTGTCCGTCTAATAGAGGTGTCCGTTAGGAGAGGTTTCACTGTAGTTGAAACTGCAGTTGGACGGGGTTCGCCTTCTTAAGATGAAGTGCGCTATCTCAATCCCCACAAAACTCGGTGCAAACATTGCCTAGAGTCTCACTAAGAAACCAGTTGAAAATTTTTAAAATCACCACGAACCAGGCCCACATATATCGGCAATTTACAGAAATACGAAAAATGCGACAAATTAGTAACTGATTAAACTAATTCACTCAAAATCGGCATATGCAATGACCTCTTAGACGAAAATGATACTAAGAGCCATTTTTGGAAAATGGGCGTAACACCGCCCACTTATGTATGTCTACATATGTGTATCAATTTCTACCAAACTCGGTGTGGTAATTAACCCTGGCGCAAATAAGCAATATGTTGAAAAACTTTTAAAACGATATTTAATACCTGCGCCGGGTATATCATGTTCGGTTTCGCCCGAACTTACATTTCGTTACTTGTTTTGTTTGTTTTTATTTGCTCTACCGTCAACTGTGGAGGGTTAAACATAGCATTGAACCTTAGTACTAGGAATGTTAATCCCGGGATCCCGGACATTTTAAGTTTTAAGGTCTCGAAAATCCCGGGATTCTTGGCAAGTAATCCCGGTATTTTCGGGATTTGTAATTTGCACTGATGGCAATAATAGAAACTCTTTATCTTGGCCAGTATTGCCTATATTTCTTTTTTTACTTAATAATTAATATTTTTTTATAAATGTCTAGCTCATTGTACATATAACACTGCGCGATAGTAAATTTAAAACACAAATATCAATATATTCGCGAAACCATGGTCCAAATATAGTAAAATTACTTTTTAGTTTTTCACTCTGACGTCAGTAATTCAAAAATGATTTAAAAAATTCAGAGAAATGTGCTTAGAGAAGGAGTATGGGTATAAAATTAATGAATATAATTTTAAAATTTTATCCTTGAAATTCCGCAATATTTGTTCGAATTTCATTCTTCTAACTTTGTCAGCTTAAAAATTACCTATTCGTCCTGGTGCATCCAAAAAATTATTTATTTTTTAAATTCAAAAGAAATTTCCCATTGCATTTGTTACCCATACTTTTATTCTACATTGCATTGAATTTTTTAATAATTTTTGGAAATAATCATATCTTTGAAATTACAAAGTCCTTCAAAATAAATCCGATCAGAGAGAAAAAATAAAAATGCCACTTTAAATAAAAAGTAGGTTTCAAACTATGGTACAGTAATTACAGGTATTGTCTTCCTAGAGAGTTTTGCTTCACATCGAAATTCGTGCTCCCTTATTTTCATTTTGACGCAGTTCAATGTTGATTCTTTTACTTTTATTTGGCTTTGCTTTTGGTTGTCGCTCAATTTAATTTTTATAATTTTTCAAAACAAAAGAAAAAACGTTTGAAATTAAGTGAGCCATACAAATTTTGAATATACTTACAAGCAAATTTTTTTTCCGGCTTTTGAATAAGTCTCTGTAAGATGGNGTGAGCCATACAAATTTTGAATTTATTTACAAGCAAATTTTTTTTCCGGCTTTTGCAAATTGAATAAGTCTCTGTAAGATGATTTGTTAAAAAAATACGTGAACAAATATGGTATATGGAAAGAGGGATATTTCCAGCAGTAAACATTTAAGTGTGGGCAACAATGATATTTTTTAAATAAGGCAGATCGGAATATGCGCTCTCTGGGAAGATAATACCTGAAATTAGTGTACCATGGTTTCAAACCCATCTATTTAATATTTATTTCATGGTAGGAGAGCTTCTCAAACAATATAGAGCAATTTTTTCGATTCAAGTTGTTGAAAAGTAATGAATATCTAAATCCCGGGACTAATCCTGGGATCCCGGGATTGTGACAACGCCATCCCGAAAATCCCGGGATCGGAAAAAGCCGAAAAATTAACACCCCTACTTAGTACATTTTATTCAGACAGACATCGGCATTTTTTATTTGCAATTGTATGGCTTGCTTGATTTATTTGGTGTGGACATGTGGGGCGCGAATGACCATTGCTTTGCATAAATGGATTAGTTTGGATTTTTACCTATCGGTCTTTATTTGTGAAAATAGTTCGTTTCTACCTGAATACTTACCGCAAATATTGTCTGGAAGCAAAAGAAGAAATTAATAGTTTTTTAGCTCATATCTGAGGACAAAATTGATGATTTAAGTGATGAGAAGCGCTAATAAATAATGCAAATAATTAAGTACGGAAGGGAGTGATGAATTCGTTTTAAAGCAAAATACAAATGCATATGGCCGACTGAAAAATTTTGTTTGAACAGGAAAAGTGTATCCTAAGGTGTATATAAGGAGCTTGGACTGGCTTTATACAGTTTTGGCTATCACAGAATCGCTGCGAACGTAAATTCGAAATTCGTAGAGAGCCTTCATTAAATCCGTTCGTAATAAAGATTCGTACAAATACTCTGCGACGAGTTTATGCTGTCGGAACAAAATTTAAAATCACTGAATATTTAAAATAATGCGCGAAAAGCTGCATTATTGTTAATAGGAAATATTTAGTATGTAGTATAGGTGACCTTTTGCAAAAAATACTTTAAAAAAACGTTTTTAATCACAAAAAACTCAATTTTTGGAGGTATTTTTAAATTGGTCCAGCTCACGTAAATCTCTATATTTTTGCGAAAACTTTCGGTGAAAGTCCTAAAACATAATAGATTTTAGAATTCCGGTGGAAAAACAGTCCCAATTTTTTTGTATGGGGAGTGATGCAGTCAAATGTACATACATATTCAAATAAGTTTCTATAAGATTCTTTGCTTGAAAAGGTTGTGGAATAAATGTTGTTAACGAAGGGATATTCTGCCGAATTCCGCAATAAAATATGCGTTTTTCTAAACTTTAGTCCTGCAATTGCTACGCCCATTTCTAGGGGCTTGCCGCCTTAGAGATAAATCTTGTCACACAAATAATATTTCTGGGGAGTATTCTAGCGGAATCCGCAATAAAATTTGAATTTTTGCAAAAACTCGATTTTCACACCTTGCTGTAAATGCTATCGAAAACAAATTTCAAAATAAACGATCTCTCCATAAAAAAAAAAAACATTTTAAAAATAGTTCTTGAAACACGCCCAATTTTTTTACCCCATTTTTTTTATATAGAATTAAACAAGGATTACGATGGTGCAATTTTAAATCCCTAGTTTACTGGTCTTCACTATGCAAATCAACTTCAAAAAGTTCAACTGTTAATTGTAAGCTTTAGGACAATCATGACCATCCTATATTAGAAATGGTAAGCCCGTTTCTTAAGCTTTAAAACGACATTGTGATGAGTCTCTACGATGAGCAGAACCCGAGATATAACGATTTGAAGAAGTACATGATTAGTCAGAATCACGAAAAAATCCAAATTTTGACAGATCATATCTCCGAAGAAAAAAATAAAAAAAAAATTTCCTCGAATACGTGTTAGCTTATTTCTCTATCGGCAGAGCTATTTTAATTCTCTTTATCTAATTGCCTTCACATTAATTTAAAAGTCATTTAAGCTGGCGGATATTCCCAATTTACTTTTACTCAAATTGTATGTTTAATTTCCATGCTTTGCAGACCCTACTTCAATGCTTCCGGGCGTTTTATCCTGCGAAAACCAGGCGTCAGCAGCATCTTAACAGAGATGGTTTGACACTCTTTATGAACCTCGTTTTATACATTTCTGTCCATTTGATTCCTTTTGAGACAATTTAAAACATAAGTCAATTGCTGTTTTAAGTGTTTTTCAGTCAGTATAGATTTTTAACTCGTGCTTGAGGTCAGTGTTGCCGTTGAGAATTTTCAGAAAGTCGCAAAAAGGGGTCATTGACGAAAAAAAGGGTCACCATACTATTTTTGCTTTTCTTTACTAGTAAGAAAATAAATCTGTAGAATTTAAAAAGAAAATAGCGGGACAAGCTTTGCATAAAACAGGGTTGCAAATACTTACAGGAGGAAATATTTTTTAATAGCATGGTTCTGTTAACATTTCCTAAAAAAGTCGGGTCAAAGTATTGGCGCTTAAAAAGGGTCAAATTGCCCATTTAGTCGCACAACGGCAACTCTGCTTGAGGTTTGCACACCCTTTCGAATAATGTTTATATGGACACAGCTAAATTTTTGGTTAATTTCACATTAGCTGATCTTGGGGACATTTCATAGTTTCTATAGAGGCGCCAGATGGTGCCCCGTTTGGGATCATCGTTTATATTCTAAAAGCTCTAGTTTCTAGTTCGAATCGAAAATAAGTTATTTTTGAACACCTAATTCTTTTATAGTACCAATAGCTCGATTTCGAACAAATTTACTATCGATTCGAACGCTCTCTTTTGATATAATTTTTTGTCTGCTGGAATTCACTACAAAAACTGAAATTAGAACGCGTGTACAGGGCTGCCCTTATTGGAATTAGCGGGTACCCCGGAGAGAGTTTGGCGAATACGAAACTGATTCAAAGTAAAATGTCCCACTGTAAAGTCTTTATTTGTTAAAGTACGTTCCCACAAGCCCCAAATTTCACAATTTGGGCACCATTCTCAATTTCAGCTTGAAATTGTAATATGATTCTCAATTTGGCTATCTAAAAAATGCCAGTTTAAATTGTGTACAAGTCTTAAATTGGGTCAAATTGAGAAAATAAATTATAAATTTTGTCGTTACAACTCAGAATTTTTATAATTGTGAGTGATTTATATGTCTAAATACTGTTTATGTATTTATAGATAAATAAAAAAAAAAATAAATAAAAATAACAGAGCAAAAAATTTTTAAAACATTTAAAGCCAAAAGATTAAAGAAAGTATAGGCCCAGAAAATAAGGAGCAGGGTGTCATCAAGTTGTGACAAGAATAGCCACATTTTCCAAGAAGTGGCTGCCCAGCTTAAAGTACGTTTCCACGAGCTCCAAATTGCGCAATTTTGACACCATTCATCTCCTTTTTCCTGACATTGCTTTTTTTCCAGAAACTATTCGAACGATGCATTTATACCAGGGTTGTTGCGAATATTCGCATTCGCATTCGCAACCGCGGAGCTTCGCATTGGTTTTATTATTTGCATTCGCTTTCGCATTCGGAATAATCAGTGCGGAGCTTTTGCGAATGCGAATGTTGTGCAAGTGCACCGACAAAACGTACATATATCTGGCAAACAAAATGATAAATTGTAGCCAATATTTTTTGTCTGTAGAGATGCGACGGTAGGCCGCACATGGGAGTATATGTGTAACAAAACTGGTCAAATGTCATATTTATCAACTTTGATAAAAGTGTAAACATATTATTTCATAAGCTATATAACCGGGCTATCCATGGGCAGTCAAACCAGTTTCCACTTCTACTTGACCTTTGACATACGTCAAAGATAACATTGTCCCTTTAATAATATTTTTTATTTTTTTTTGTTTTCTCTGCTTTAAATAGCTTGGTTTCTTTCTTTAATGTGATTTTTTTGGACAATTCTTAAAAAAAAGCTGCTAGATATAATAGAAGACAGTTTGCACTATAATTTTAAACCAAATTTTCATGATTTCCTTTTGTAGTTAGAAATATTCGCTTCAATCATTTCAAATGGGGAATTTATTTTTAGCAAAAATTTCAAAAACAGTAATTTTGTTTACTTTTTCGGCAATATTTATTTCATATATACAGCATGGCGACGATTAACTGTTACCCAGGTTTTTTTTGAGAATTAAAAGGGTCCTTTAAGGATTTTGCGATAAAAGTATTTTATTGTTAATTTTCCACAGATTTTACTTTAGTTGTATGTATAATTTAGTTTTTAAATTTTAATCCCTATTTACATTTGCCAGAAATGTAAACTTTGGGAGAAAAATTCATTTGGCACGCCAGTCTTTTTCAGGTGTATGTTTTCTTAGGCTTTGTCTGTATAAAAAAAGTCAAAAAAAGAAGAAACTGTATAGGGTTGGTCGAATGAATGGCCGTCCTAGTCACCAGTTCTGAGTCTATTCGATTTTTGAGTATGAGGCCTTATGTTGGACAGGAGGGGGAGTATAAGGGACTCAAAACGGAGAAAATTAGCATGGGGTTACAGAAGATATGGAATAAATTAACGGACGAAACCCGCGTGCCAATTAACTTTTCTCTAAAAGTTTACACTGCTGGCAAATTTAAATAAGGATTAAAATTTAAAAACTAATTAATATAACTAAAGTAAAATCTGTGGAAAATTAGCAATAAAATACTTTTTTCGCAACATCTATAAAGGCCCCTTTTATTTCTCAAAAAAAACCTGGGTAACAGTTATTCGTCATCACGCTGTACATTGGATCTTTAGCTAAAAACTTTTGTGGTAAGACTGTCCCCCTACGCATGCCTTCTTTACTATTTAAAGTCGAAAGAATAAGCTCCTTCAAAAGGGATTTCCAGCAAAAGTTTTCAACGACTGGTTATAAAGAGAATCAATGCTAAAGAAATTAAAAAGTTATAGGTCTGACCTTTAATTAGATAAGAATTACGTAACTATCTGAGACCATCATTATCCGTGATTCCAATAATTCAAATGCTTATAAAAAAATGGGGTGGTTTTAAAAAAAATAAGAATATTCTGATCCGATTCGGCTGGCAGCCACAACTTTTAAAACAGAATTTTGTTCGAAATTCTCATTCCTGGAAAATAATAATTTATTTTCCGTATCCACCTATTTAGCTCGCTTTAAGCTCAAGTTTTTCACACCAGTCGTAAAAGCAAGTATTAAAAATTAATTACAAAAACTAAAATCGAAAAATGCTGATAACGTTACAGGTTCCCCAAATTCTGAAACAGCCAAAGGAATGAAAATGAAGAATTGTTTTTAGAAAGCTTTAGAAAAACCTGATGCATCTGGTTTGGCTTGAAAGCGGTGTTTAAACAACGGCGAGGTCGTTATGCTAAATTCTTCAAGTGAAGATGAAAGTCAGGAGGATACATCCGACATTTTCAGCCCCGATACAATTCTCATTACTCTTTATTAAATATAATGTTCCAATTTTTGAATTCAATTACTAAATAAAATAAAGATTATTAAAAATTACTAACTTTTAAATAACTTAGTTTACTTAATGTACTTACATACTTACATATCTTAAAAATATTTGACATCCGCATCCGCATTCGCATCCGCGGTTGTCTGAAATTCCACATTCGCAACATCCCTATGTTATGCTTACATATATGTATGGATGGAGCCGTTTTGTTTGGCTAATTAATTTATTTGACATTTTTGAAATTATGCGCTAAAAGTGTACGCAGAGCTTTTATTTACCTCTCGGCAAAAGCTGGAGCAAATTCTTGTTATAATTTGTTAAGAAAATCTAAGGTAAAATCTGTAACTGGTTCAGTTTCTTTTACTTCGCAGTTCTTAAAATAGTACAAAATGGCAAGACTATGTCAACAAAAACCTCATCTTTCTCCTTTTCACAACGATTGTAAACAACTAATATTTACAATTTCAAATTGAAATTGACAATTGAAATTGCCCAATTTTGAGCTCGTGAAAACGAACCTTTACTATAGAGTATATAGAGTTGACTACTTAGGGTATACTGACATTAATAACAAAAACCACACTAAAATTCAAGACAGCGCTCATGAAACTTTCATAATGATTTTTTATTTGAGACGAATTCAATACACTTTCATGGCTATTTTGGCCTTATATGGAGGTTCTTCAACACTGCCACCAGTCATACGTATCGGTGAGTATAGCTGATCACATACGCATCTATACATAAATACGTATGTATGCACATATTTTCTAAACGATTTATATATGAATATTATATCTGTAGGTGCTATATCTTCCGGCAAGCACAATGGCCCAACCGACCTGGCATTCAAGTACGCGATTAATAGCATTAATCAGGATAAAAGTTTGCTGCCGGAGACGAAACTTACGTTTGATTTGCAGCATGTGGCCAAAGATGACTCATTTCATGCCTGTCAAAAAGGTACTAAAAACAATAAATAGAATGCCTATACTTTTCACAAAGAAATTAAATGGCCAAGAATTTCATATTAAATGTGGAACAGCCATTTCAGGGTGTCAACCAAATTGTATCCAAATGGTTATTTCCATAAGTGGAAGTGGAATCCTAAGTGGTTGAATTTTCCACTTTTTGGTCACAAAATAATCATTTGGTATGTAATTATTTGTACAAATTGTTCTCAAATTCTTGGCTTAGGAGAACCATAGTAAATTTAAAAGAAAATTTTTCCGTCCACAATTATAACCCCTTAACGGCAACCAAAATGAGTCCTTTTGACTTTTATTTTAAAGAAGTTCGATGTCGGCTCATTAAAAGTGGCATTGCTAAAATATTTTAAAATACTTGTTAACGCTTAATATCGCTCGCGGGTTTAATAAATGTTTAAAAGCGGATTCCTTTCGATAAGAAAAAAAACCCAAACACGTTCGATTATGTCAAATCCATTTATTAGAGAGAAAAAAACGAAGTTAGCTTTAACAGCAAGGATGTCAGAGTTACCAGGAGTAGTTTATACTAAACAAGTATATAAGAGATGCCAGATAGGCGCGAACATTCCGGCCGCTTTGAACGACTGTTCAAATTTTACAATTTCAATTCAAGTTGTTTCAAATACATAAATCATATGGAAAAAATGTCGTTCTTTGTTGGTAGTAACGATAACTTAGCGACAGGTCTCAATAGTTCCCCTTCGGATGTTTTTAAATTTATGACTCGAACACGGTCATCTGAGGCCGGATGGATGCTAAGTACGCGACCACGTTTGAATTTAGTGGGTGGCGCGTTACTGCCACGTACAACTACTACGTCGTCTTTCTGAAAATTCGGTGTTGAGCGTAACCACTTTGAGGGTTGTTGAAGTCTGACAAGGTATTCGTCCCACCAGCATTTCCAGAAATACTGTCGGATTGATGCGATTAATTGCCAACGTTGAAAAATAGTTCCTTTAAAGACTTCAACGTCAGGGTCGGGAAACCCTTAAGTGGTTCGCCGACTATGAAGTGCCCTGGTGTGAGGACTTCCAAGTCGTTTACTTCGGTAGTAATGCAGCAAATAGGACACGAATTTACGCAGGCTTCGACCTTAGTTAATACTGTTGCAAACTCTTCGTAAGTTAAAAGCGCCGGGCCCAGTGCTCGTTTGAGGTGGTACTTAACGCGCTTTATACCAGACTCCCAAAAGCCACCCATGTGTGGGGCGCTCGGGAGGTTGAAATGCCCGGTCGTTTGAGCGTCGGTGAAATATGATGACACTTTGTCGTCATTGATGCAGCGTTCGTATGCGATCCGCAGCTAGGGACACGATATCGAACCGAAAGTATCGATATGGTACTCATATAAAGCATCGCTTTAAAAATATCGGGTACCCATCAATATCGGAATAAAAGGACTCGATGTTCCAGATATCGATAAAAATTTATCTGAATATAGGTCTCGCATATAGGCCGCTGTGGTGCAGTGGGTAAAAGTGCGCAAGCCTTGAAAATGAAAAACAGCTTGTCATAAAATACAATCGCCGTTCAGAGTCAACACAAAACTGAAGGAACCTCCTTTGTGCCACAACATTAAGGCGCACGCGACGAATCGGAGGAGAAGTTCGGCCAAACAATAACATATTGTGTAAGCGCCGGACTTTTTTATTATTTCAAAACGTAGAGATTGAGGTGTTGACTTAAAACACCGAGGCCGTGGGTTCAAATCCCATTTNAATTTAAGTTGCAACTTTATTAGTTTCGACTTAGTGGCTGGACTATGAATACGCGCCAATGTTATTAACAGCTCAACGTAATATTACCGGCGAGAGTTTTTCTACGCACGCACGCAAGTTTTTCTCATTTGATAAACCGAAATCAATTTGCGTGCGTGATTTCTAAGGTTGCAAACAGAGTGGAAGCGAAGCCGAAGACGAAGATGAAGACGAAGCCGAAGACGAATTGCTTGCGTTGCGGGCAAGCTGGCGAGTGTACATAGTTGAAGATGAATGATATGAAGATCTGTTTCTAAATAAAACCCTTTTTTTAGATAAAATCAAAAGAAAATAAAAAAAAACGGCAATTCATGAAATAATTTGTTTAAATAGGACAACTTTTGGAGAATTTCGCCACTTCTATTATGTGTTACGGCAAGACGGACAGACAAGAATGCCAATTAATACGTTTGATTACATTTTGCCAAAAATTTAGCCAATTTCTTAAAAAACGCGTTTTTTCACAATTGCAAACAGTTAAATAAATTGTAAACAACTCATCACAGCAAGCGATTCGTCTTTGAAAACAGTACCGCAACATCTTCATCTTCGTCTCCGTCTTTGCTTGCACTGTGATCACTTTCATATGTTTACTACTGCACTGTTTTTCGTCTTCGGCTTCGTCTTCATCTTCGTCTTCGGCTTCGCTTCCACTCTGTTTGCAACCTTAGAAATCACGCACGCAAATTGATTTCGGTTTATCAAATGAGAAAAACTTGCGTGCGTGCGTAGAAAAACTCTCGCCGGTAATATTAGGTTGAGCTGTTAATAACATTGGCGCGTATTCATAGTCCAGCCACTAAGTCGAAACTAAAAAAGTTGCAACTTAAATTTAAGTACCAACTTAAAATTCATTTCTTTTAGACTTCTTCTAAGTAGTTTTAACTTAGTTTTACGATATTGCAAAACGAGCGTGAAAATGTATCGATTTTTCTTTACTATATTTTGGAGAAATTACATTTTTATTAAATAATGTCAAGTTTGATCATCCGTTTATGTAATTTTTACTTTCATGCAAAATAATAAGGTATAAGTTTCTTGTTAATTATTTCAGAACTACCGCAATGATGTGAAGTAGATGTTTATCGAAAGCATGCTGTGAAATATACAAACACATACCTAAATGTTATGCACTAATTTGCTTTATAAGAACAAGCTTGAAATTGACTTATTATTTGAGCATTTATATATGTAAAACATTCTAATTATAAAATTGTGAAGCAGCCTTATTCGAATTGTAATACGCATTTAATTTCGTCTTCCTATTCAAATGGATCACTCTTTGTAAATTTCAACTGGAGATCATTCAATATTATCAAAATCACGCTCTGCCAACATTATTTTTACATATTTCGTATTTTTTTCCTTAATTTAATAGAATACTTCTTCCTAGTTACGACTTAATTGCAGCTGCAGCCGAAACTAAATTTTAAGTTAGTACTTAGCCAGAAAAGTCGAAACTAAGGCGACTATGAAGAGCTTTAGTTGTAACTTAAGATAGTTTCGACTTAGTTGTGAACTAAATATGACTATGAATATGCGCCATTATTCTTGTAATGTGAGTTTATGACATCCGATGCGATACTAGGGTTCTGGTACTCGACCCCAAAAAATATCGTTTTAAAACTATCGAGTAGAAAATATCGGTATCGAATGCCAAAAGTATCGATATGGTATCGTATCGTATCGAAATTCGTGTCCCTATCCGCAGCTCCTTCTCAGTACCCACGAAGTTAGTGCCGTTTTCGGAGTAAATATGCTGACAGTGGCCTCTTCTGTTGGCAAAACCTTTAAAAGCGGCAATAAAGGTGATTGAGGGGAGGTCCCTAGTCAGCCCGAGATGCATTGCACTAGTACTCATACATATAAACGAGCAGATGTATGCATGGGCGTAGCCAGGTAGGGGAGGGGGCTGCTCGAGCCGCTCCCCCCCTAACTTTAAAATTTTCCTTATATATATATAAATTAGTACCCTGAAATGCCAGCTTAATAGGGTCGAGCCAACCCCCCCACCCTAAATTTCATTCTGGCTACGCCGATGGATGTATGCCTTGGTAAATATCAAGGCATAAGGGCCAGCAAAATCGGCCGCACTATGCAGGAAACAACGCGTAGAGATGACGCGGCTTGCGGGTAAATCAGACATGAGTTGATGTATTGGCTAGCAGCTCAGTCGTCTGCACCGCGTACAATGGCGATATACCCCACGCACAAGGATTCAAATACCGGGTACCCAAACCGTTAGGTGTATCTCAGCAGCAAATACCTTAGCAAGCGGCGATTCCTTGTCATCGTCTGAAAGCACGGCGTTTTTGATGCGGCCTCCTACACGTATAATACAATTTGAATGTAGAAACGGTTGCAACCGGGCTAGGCTGCATCGCATCGGTACAGGTTTGTTTAACCTGCAATTATAAACTTCTTGTTCGAAACAATTAAACTGGGTATACTTTACCAATGCTACTCCGGCACTTCGTATTTCGGCACAAGTTAAACAGCCCATGTTTAGTGCTTCTGAACCAGACTGTGAAGCTGTGATGCCTGTGTTGTTGGCGAAGCGCAATAGCTAAGCGGTTATATGTTTAAGTTTGTGAAATGAATGATATTTGGTCAACAGGTCCCATTCGTCAGCGGTTTGAATTAGATGCGCAAAGGTTTTCTTTGATTTTAACTCGAGCTCTGTGTTGTGTTTTTGCGCGGATATCAGCCGACAATTGTTGCCCTCCCATAGCCAAGGTGGCCCATGCCACTACAAGGGATGCGCAAGAAGCTGTGATGGTGTAATACCTCTCGATTCGCAATCAGCGGGATTGTTCTCTGAGGCGACATGCCTCCAATGTGATGCCGGTGAAACTTCCTGTACCTCGGCGACGTGATTGGCAACAAACACATCCCAGCAACTTGCATTGCTTTGTAGCCACGCCAACACAACCATGGAGTCCGTCCGTGCGTACAACTTGCCCATTGAGTGGTTCAAACTTGACTGGACTTTCCGCACCAGCTTAGCACGTAAACCTGCCGGTACATCTTTTCGACGTCTGCAATTATATCAAAGCCTTTAGTACGAAAGCGAGTCAGAACAGAGATGAGGTCTTGCTGCAACTGCGGGTATACCATGACAGCGTCGTTTAAAGAGTTACCTGACGATGTCATCATAGGTGCGTTGAACAGGACTCTGAGTTTAGTCGTTTCGCTTGTTTCCTTTAATACCGCATGGCATGTAATATACATACGCTTGTTGTTGCTGGCTCGGCTAACTCTATGCGGCCCATGTCAATAAGTTCTTGCATAAACTTACTGTACTCCTGGCGAAGGTGTTTGTTAGCGGCAAATCTTTATTCCATGCGGAGTAAGGCTCGAACGGCTGCGGTTCTCGACTAACCGATCAGGATGTCTGTCTTTAATGGTTAACGCACAGTGTAACGACCGTCTTCTGCCCGTTCGGTTGTTTCAACGAAGAGGTTTTCGCAAAATGATTATTCTGGTGTATAAAACCTTCGAGGGGGCAACTCTTAGAGTTCCAAAAATTTGTTTATAAGTTGGGCTAACTGCGTATCGCAATGTAAAGTCGATATTGTCAAAGGTGGGCGTTGCAAATTAGTCGCGTTCCCAAACAGTACCCAACCGAACGCGGTATTTTGTGCTATTGGGGTAAACTGTTCACCTTTACGCAGACCACTGAGTAGGATTTTTCCATTTCGTCCATGCTGATTAAAAAGTCTACTGGACCAGGCTTTGAGAAATGTAAATCAGCTAGTGGTAAGTCGGTGAGATGCGGCCATGAGGACGTCGGTACAGGGGTGGTGGGGATATTGTTAGTAATTGTCAATAAGATAAGTGCACTCACTTGAAATTTGGTATCTAGATTTCGCGGCGATATGCACATTACAACCTCACCTCACGACCTTCTTATAGTGACGTAAGCGGATGATGGTGTTCTGGGGATGCGTATGCGTTGGACGCACGCCTCGGTGACGAATGAAGCACGCGAGCCGTTGTCAAGCAGAGATCGGGAGGTTTGCCAACGACCAGCGTAGCCTTAAACCACAATCTCAGCGGTTGTCATCAAAATTACATGAACTGCTAGCGGGCGTTGCTGTTTGGTCGGTGAAGTTTGCATGAAGTAACGTGTGGTGGCGAAGATGCCGAGTCGAGTTGGCTTAAATGCGGGCATGCGAAGATTTTATGCCCACCGTTGCAAGGAGTATAATGCAACACTTTTGTAGCGGCCGATGTATGGTCCCGTGTTTCCGACTGACTGCATGTCGTGTGAAGAACGTTCTTTTTGTATTAGCGCTTACTTGTGGCACCATCTCTAATGAGCGTGCACGAGTTTCGAGAAACTCTCGAAGAGCGGTGAAGGATGGTAGATCATCTACCACACGCAATAGCTCCCATTTCTTGCGGGTTTCGTATGCTAACTTGGATACGGTTAAATGAATGATCCAATCGTCCCAAAACGCCAACAACGCCAGCGCGCCAACATGCTGAAGGATAGCATTTAATACCACCATCACTCGCATGACTTTGTACTTCGCGGTCAATAAGTCCCAAGCCTCATTATAATTGCTGTCACACGCCGCCAAGATATTCACCAAATCTAATGCTTCTCCTTTCACAAACAATTCCGCAGATAATGCAATTTTTGTCCGTCCGAAAAATTCGCATTCGCATTAACGAGTGGGCAAAACCATCGTGAAAAGACAACCATTGATTGGGGTCGCCATTAAACGATGGCAACTGCAGTTTAGGAAGTGGCCCTGGAGCAGGCGCTACCTTTACGGAAGTTTGATGCGATAACTGCTTTTGAGCTGATAATAGGCGTTTTAAATTAGCCTTGGCGATGCTATACCACTCCTCTTCGTGTATGCGTGCCTGCTCCTCCATGGAAGCGTTCCCATTCTCACGCGATAGCTCCACTTCCTGCTGTGCTTCGCAAAAGCGAGACCATTTCTCTTCAAGCGTCAGCCTTCTAAGCATAGGTTTTAAGGTTTTATCGAGCGTATTGTGTGAAATACTGAAGCCCACCGTCAATGAACTGATTGGGCCTTATCAGTGTGGCTTTAGGCCTGGCAATTCCACCATAGACCACAATACGCCAAATCTTCGAAAAAAACCGCGAAACCGCGAGCCGCTTTGACAGTACTAAAAGGAGTTGCCTATTCGTCGCTATGTCTGAATTTGGCATCCCCTCAAAACTCATACGGCTGTGTAAAATGACGTTGAGCAATGCCACCAGCTCCGCCAGAAATGGGAAATACCTCTCCGAGCCGTTCACCACTAAACGGCGTTTCAGAGAGGGTGACTCCCTTTCATGTGACTTCTTTAATTTGATGTTGGAGAAGATGATAGGAGCTGCAGAACTGAACCGCTTAAGAACAATTTACTACAAGAGCGTGCAATTGCTGGCTTGTGCCGCTGATATCCAAATCATCGGTAACAAAAACCTCGAAGCCTGTTCTGCCTTTTCCAAGTTGGATAAGGAAGCAAAGCGAATGGGTGTGGTGATAAACGAAGACAATACGAAGTATCTCCTGTTAACAAACAAACAGTCAGCACATTTGCGCCTTGGCACCCACGTCACTGTTGACAGTTATAATTTGGAGAATGTAGAGAATTTCGTTTATTTGGGAACCAGCATTAACACCGATAATAATGTCAGCATGGAAATCCAGTGCAAAATCACTCTTGCCAACGAGTACTACTTTGTACTGAGTAGGCATTTCAGGAGTAAAGACCTCTCTCGACGTACGAAAACCACACTCCATAAGTCACTCATCATGCCCGCGCTGGTATATGGCGCAGAAGCATGGACAATGACACCATCCAATGAAGCGGCTCTTGGAGTATTCGAGAGAAAGATTTTGATATGGGCTTTACAACGACGTGGACATAGTGCAGCGAATTAAAACACAGCGGCTCCGCTGGCTTGGCCATGTCGTTCGAATGGACACCGACGCTCCAGCTCTGAAAGCATTCAACTCGGAACCCACTGGTGGTAGCAGAGGAAGAGGAAGGCCCCCACTGCGATGGAAAGACCAGGTGGAGAAGGACTTGGCTTCACTTGGCATTTCCAATTGGCGTCAGGTTGCACGACTGGCGTGCTTTGTTGAACTCACCTAAAATCGCTAAGCGGTTACAGCGCCAAATAAGAAGATGGAGAAGTAGCTTTTGATTACGTTTAACGCGGAGTCACGGATTTTAAGAGATGACATGTTGCAAATGTCAGCGCGGAATAAATTTAGCAAATATTTGCGGGTTTATGTTCGATTATGTCAAATCCATTTATTAGAGAGAAAAAAAAATAGTTATCTCTGACAGCGTTACC